CATCCCGACCCCCTAGGTTCCCCTTGCCTACCCCCCAGCCAGGCTCCCCCACCGCCCCTCCCTCCAGCTCCACGGCTGCCCTCCCTTACCCGCCCTGCTTGCCCCGGCCTGCGGGTCCCCGCCTCCCCCCGCCCTCATTAGCATAGCAGCTGCTCGCCGAGTGGGGACCCGCGGAGGAAAGGGCAGAGGCCTCGGGAATGAATGGGGGCCGCGGCTTTGGAGGGAGCGAGAGAAGAAAGACCGACAGACGGACGCACGGAAGGACGGTCCGACGTAGAGCAGAAGAATGCGCCTGGCGAGGGGAGAGAAGTGTTGGTGGGGGGAGTGGAGTCCAGGCCACAGAGGGGAGTGTGCGGCAGGCGGTGGGGGAGGGCAGCCTCCCCAGACCTGAAGCCCCTGGAGGGGGCCGAGCTGGAGGCCCCAGGAGGAGACGTCGGCGGTTCCCAGACCTCCCACGGCCTCCTGTGGCCTGCGCCCTCACACTCTGACTTCAGGCTTTGTCCCCTAGCTACCCCAGCGCTGGCCTCCTTTCCTGTCCTTCGAGGTCGGAGGTCGGAGGTCCGAGGCCCGAGGGCCGGGTGGACGCAGGACTCTCAGTGGACTCCGCAGGGGCGTCAGGAGGCACTGGGCCTCCCTGAGGTCAGAGCTGCCCCTGTGCCTATGTGCACCCCAGTCCCAGAGGGCAGCCCCCTTCTGTCCTCCTCCCAGCCTGACTCCCTGGCCCTTGGCCCTTGGTCCTGGCCTCCAAATCCTGCCCTCCCTCCTCTGGCTAGCTCTGTCCTGGCTCCCACGCCTGCTGCCTTTAGATACCACTCTTTCCGGCTGACCATTTTCCTGCACTTCCTGGTCTCTCTGGCATCCATTCCAACAGTAAATGCTTCCTGCGTCTGGCCAGGGTCACATCAGACAGACAGACAGTTGGATAGGACCTGTCAACACGACTGGCTGGGGGAAAGGGGTGGGCCCTGACCTTATCCATCTGGTCTGTCTCCTTTCTCCATGGCAACCACTCCAGGGTTCCCAGGGACCCAACCCCTGCTTGCCGGACCCCTCCACCCTGGGTCTCCTGGGTGCCCCTGCCTGGGACCCTCACCTGGCTTCTACACACACACCTGCAGGTCCTAGAGCCCAGGCAGAGAGGGTCAGCTGTGCCTTTTCTCACCCTGGCCACAAAGAGGCTTGAAAAGATGTTTCCAGCCCTGAAGGCCTGCCTGGGGAGGAGTGATAGGACTCCCAGGTGACACCATTGGCCCACCTGCTGCAGTTAGCGCCAATTCCTGTTTGCTGAGCACAGACGTCCTGGAGCCAGAGGCTGTTCGGCGCTGACCCACGTGGTGGACAACTGTGGTTTTAGTCTACTTTCTAGGGCTCTGCCCCACCCCAGGGAGGCCACAGAGTCAGCACACCTGGAGTCCCTCACTGTGGCCAGGGCCCAGGCTGGAGGGGCTGTCTGTGCACAGGGCAGCCCCTGGGCAGAAAGGCAGCAGACCCCACCACGGCTCCCCCATGGGGCCAAGCAGGGCCTGGCTTCCTTTCTGTCTACATTGGAGAGAAAACTGTCCCTCTTGTGAGAAGCACAAAGCCTGTCTCAGTCCAAAGTGTCTTTAAGAAGAGGACTTAGGGAGCCGCAGTCTCGCGTGGTGGCAGCCACATGCCTGGGAAGTACCCCAGTGCCCAGGCTCCACTGGCCAGGGGCTGGGGAAAGTATTCTGGCTAGCATCCCCCACCCCCGCCCCACAGGCCAAAGCCAAGAACAAACACCACCTTCTGCTGGCTTCCTTTGGCTCCTGAGGGCAAGTGCCCTGGGTGGGAAATGGAGACCTTGCCTGCCATGCCCGTGGGGGGCCCATAGTGTCCAGGCCTGACTGCATTTTCCAGGTACCCCAACCTCCGAGTTCTTTAGCCAGTCTCCCTGCTGCGGCCAGGCACCCCCAGCTCACTGCCCCCAAAGGCTCATGGTGTGTCTTCCCACACAGGCCTGTGAGCCCTGGGTGTATACCACCTCCTGGGAGCTCATTTGCATCAAATATTCCATTCACCTGTGCAGGTGTCTAAGGGTAGAGCTGACCCAGTCTAGCATGCTAGCTGGGGGACAGCAAGTGCCTGTAAAACCAACAGAAAACGCACTCAGAAAACTCAAGGGCAGAACAGGGCAGAAGACACACAGTGGGAATAGGAAAGGCCCTGGGAAAAGCTTCCAGTTTGGGAAAGCCATGGTGTCCCACCTGCTGCCAGGGAAGCTGACATCCCTGGGCTACTTCAAAGGGGCCTGAAAGCCCTAGAGTCCCGGAGTCCAGAGTCCCAGCACAGTTGCAACTTACTTTGTCTGCCTTCCATCTCCTTTGTGGCTACTCTGGCTGGTGTGGGGTCCTCCCACCCCTCTTTGCATGGGCCCCCGCAGATGGCTCAGTAGTGGGCCCAAGTCTCCCCTCCTCTTCAGTAGGCACGGGAAAGACAGCCCACTCCACATTCACAGAACCGGGACGCTGGCCTTCAGTTCACTCAGGGTTTGCGCTCTTCTGAGAGTGGCCAGCTCCCGCCCGGCTGGCCTGCTCAGTTCCCAGACACCACCAGGGGCCTGCGAGGAGAAAGGGGCCTTTCACTGTCAGGAGCAAGCAATATGATGTGCCCCCAAGCTGAAAAGATACCCCTCTGTGCAGCAAGTGGTATCCAGCAGGATAAGGGGTCCAGCAGGAACCCCCAGCAGCTGGAACAGGGGCTGGTCCCTTGGAGCACCGGGTCTCTAGGCTGGCTGGGGGTCAGGATGGGAAGAGCTTTGAGCAGAACTTTCCACGCAGAGGCCTCTGTTGCTTTGTCAGGGACCAGAGGTGTGCCCACTCTGTTGGCCCTGGCACCTCACAATCCTATGTGCAGCCGACTCGGGTTGGCAGTGGAGCCGAACTCAGAGCCAGTTTACCAGGCTCTGTCTTTAGGTGAAAACAAGCCAAGCATTGTGTAGACGTCACCCACAGACAGCATGCTGCAGCCTGACCCTCGTCCTGGGTGCCAAGCCCAAGAAGAATCAACAAACCTTTTTTTTTTAATAAAAAAAATCAATGAAAAATTTATTTATAAATTTTCCATGCTGGGCTACAAGTATATCGTACACTCAGGAATGTGCTGCAGGCATCACCCAGTTAGAAGTGATCATACTGGGGCCCATACACAGCTTCCATAAGCCTAGAAAATCTTAACATTAATTAACATAATTAAAAAGGTATTTGCATCTAGAAAAAATATACAGAAAAACTCCTTTTGGAGTAATCTGTGCCTCAGTTTCAATGTCTGCTTGTTTCACTGACATTATCAATATATTCTTCTCACACAGGATTTTATATAAAGCCACAGATGACTGCCCGAATCTGACCAGCCACGCACAAAGGGCCTCCACCCACCTGTGTCCTCAAGTGCTCCCCATTTTTGCACGAAGGGTCAGCAGCACTTCTACCCAGGAAGCCTCATTTAAATTTGAATAATTCAGCCTCCCTTTTATTTCTCAGGATCAAAACAACAAGGGGTGTGGAGTTGCATAGAAAATTGGAACCGCGGAGACCGGGAAGGGCGCTTTTCAGGACAGAAAGTGACGCAGAAGCACCGCCTCCCGCGCAGGTCTCCCAGCAGCTCTCCCGGCGGCCCCTCCCCCATGGCAGGATTTTGGGATTCGTATCGAGTTCTTGAAACTCTGGGAGGCTGAAGAGGGGCAAACGGTCCTTCCAACTCAGCAAGTAGCACAAGAGATTCACAGTCTTATAGGTATTTTATAAAAATATAAATATGGGTACACTGTTGCCTACACAACGCTGGATACAACGCCCTTTAAAATTGGGTTTATAACCAAGATTCAAAAAATACACCTAAAACTTGGCTTAAAATATGTTAATATTTTATATTGTCATAAATGTTATGACATTTAATTGTGGCAAATCCATTTACTTTTTTAAAAAAGTGTGCAACCGACTGTTAACTATAATAGAACTCACTAGAAAAGGTACGGTCCCCACCCCACTCCCCTCAGTCACCGCCACACCCGAGCACCCAGGCTTCTGCGGAAACTTTGCAAAACCAGTAGCTTTGGGGATGGTGGCCTGGGACTCCCAAAGCTCACACTTTGTGAGAGTGAGAGAGAGAGAGACGGGAAGGAGGAGAGAAGGGGAGAAAAGCGGGTACAGGAGAAGGTAGAGAAAGAAGTGGAGAGAGAGGTGAGGAAGAGAAACAGGAGGGAGAAGAAATAGGAAAACCATCAGGCTGGGCGGTGTTTTCAGTGCAACCAACAAATGACAGACTCAAGTTTTTAGTTTTAAGACTGGGGGGGGAAGCATCTTCCCCCCAATAACCACATTGACCACGCACAATATTTTCCAAACCAAAAAAAAAAAAAATCAGGCGCACAAACTTCACCCACAAATATATAGACGGACGATAAATAGTTTAGAACCCCAGCAACAGCAGAGCGTCTCCTCCGTGGCGAGTCGGTCCCGAGCCCGGCGTCCCCGCCACCCGCTTTCCACCTCCGGAGAAAACATTTTGAGCGGGGCATCCGGTATCTCGGGATTCCGAACTGGCTGGTAGCGAGACTCAAATTTCAAAGGGGCTGGAGCCCGTGCCCCGCCCCCACCCGCGAGGCGGCGGGCGGGGGCCGTGGGAAGCGCTCCGGCCAGGCCCCCGGCAGCCGCGGGGGGGGCGCCGACCCCGGGCAGCGGGCGCCGCGCGGGCCCCGTGGACACGGACGCGCACGCCGGACTCGTCGTGGCCGCGGCGCCGAGGGCCGGGCGCACACCGAGGTAGTTGGCGGGAAGGTACAGCAGAGGCGATATGCGTGGGGCCCGCGTCCGGGTTGGGGTCGGGGTCCGGGCGGGCATCACCGGCCGCTGCCAGCGTACTTGGCCTTAGTAATAAGATAGAGCACGATGTCCTGGTGGCCGCCAAACGCGGCGATGTGCAGCGCGCTCCAGCCGTCGCGGTTAGCCAGGCGGATGTCGGCGCCAAACTTGACCAGCAGTTTCACGAGCTCCAGGTTGCCGTCGATGACCGACTGGTGCAGCGCCGTCTGGCCCTCGGGCCCGAACGAGTTCACGTTGAACTCGCAGTTGGTCATGTTCTGCAGCAGTGACTGCAGCTCTTGCGTGTTGCCCTTGCGCACGGCCTCCTGGAAGATGCGCTGCGTCTGCGGCGCCGAGCAGGTGGACAGCTCGGCCTGGCTCATGTTGCCGCCGGGCGCGGGCCGCGGGA